TTTAGATGAATCACTGAGTGACACCACAGTTTTTTGTGTGTTCAAACAACACCTATTGGCATTAACAGACACGTGTGAAGTTGAATCACGTGAGAAAGAAGAAAAATACAGACTTTCTGTGGAACTCTGTAATGGGGACGTGATTAGGTGTGCTTTTGATAAGGCAGGCATTTTCATGCCCCCAGACATGATTGAAGCCATCCAAAACAGATTTACCACTGTAGTCTGGAAAGAACTCAAAGAAGAATGTGTTAAAGTTCCATTGGAGAACTTTAAAAACCTCAGCAAGCTGGTTTACAAATCTCTTTGCAAAAAGTGTAAAACGCCTGAGAACGTTCTCCTGTTCATGCAGTTACAGTACCCAATAGTTGAGGAAACAATCGTGGACGTGTTCAAAAACCAAATAGCAAAATTATCTAAGAAACCGGGTTCCATCCGCCAATTTTTAGCATCTGCACGCAATTTTTTTTGCCGGAGCAAAAGACACAATAAGGTTTCTGTAATGTAGGGAAATCAACTGAAAACATTTCTTAAAAACTAATTGGAGCCATTTTTAAAATCATAATGGCTCTTTAATTAATTGGATCATTTATGAAACTCCGCGGACCGGTCGCGACAGATGGCCGTCCCCTCACTGAGCCTGGTTCTGTCGGAGGTTTCTTTCTCTTAAAAGAAAGTTTTTCCTCCCCACTGTCGCCGAGTGCTTGCTCAGAGGGGTGTGTCTGCTGGGGTTTTCTTTTTAACACTGGAAGGTACCAAACCTTACAGTAATACATTGTAAGGTTTCCTTACAGTGTATTACTGTAAGGAAACCTTACAGTGTGAAAAGACCATCATTTACTTTCCCTTACAGATTGAAGTGAACTGAATTGAACCGAAAACACAACTAATTCAGCGCTTCAAGTTAATGTCAATAAAAATGTTTACATTTCATGCCCTGATTTCTGTTTGATTTCATTGTCTGTGAGTTGAACAAATTCATTCTTACCAACTTCGTGTTTCATTTAAACGTGTAACCTATTTTTAAACCTTTCAAAAATCTGAACATGGCAGAATACCGTTTAATAAAGCAGAATGTGATATTTTGTATCTGACTTATTTCAAAACATACATTGATTTATGTGTGGAAGAAGACAATGTAGCATTTTTTAAAGGAGAGAAAAGAAAAGGCAAATTCCTTTTTTCTTTTGAGATTATTGAACCATTTGACAAATTTGTTATAAAATGTATTCTTAATTTTTATAGTATTTGCTACATCTGGAATTTTGCTTAAAATGTATTGTGCAATTTATTTAGATTTTTCAAGGGAAAAAGTCACACTGATTATATACACTAGATGTCGATACACCATATATATCTATATATATATGTATCTATCTATCTATCTATCTATCTATCTATCTATCTATATATAGATATATATCTATATATATATATAGTATAATAACACTGTAAACTCCAAATATGTCCAGATAAGATGTTAAGTAAAGTTAAGTAAAGCATGCTACACTGCAGATGTCTTTTAAGAATGTGATGATAAAAAATAATCACTAGATGGCGTAATCAGCCCACTGAAAATATAACACACAAACCCTGTATTGGAGAATGGTAGGTACCTTAGGTTTACATTGCGGCTTCAGTATCTGTATTTTTGTGTTCAGACATCAGTAATCTCATCCACTGCCTTCCACGTATGTTTAACCTGAGTAGCGAAAACCGCGGGGGTTTGCTGCTCTCGCCGGCTCAGATATTTAAGGTTTACACACCTACATTCTCGCCTGAAAATATGTTAAAAGTTTATTTTGCGACCCAGAAAGAATAATAAGAGTAATATTAACACTAAGTAGCTGCCGCCATTGTTGGAAACTGGAATTGGCTGGACCATGCTTTGAATTCTGGGATATGGTTTTTCAACTTTGTTGTCCGGGTGGAAAATCGGGAGAAATTCGGGAGAATGGTGGCTCCGGGAGATTTTCGGAAGGGGCACTCCCGGAGAAATCGGGACGGTTGGCATGCATGCCTTAGACCCATGCAATTCATTTTTCCCTACTTTTACAAAAAAAACAAAAAACAAACAAACAAACGGTTCTGCGGCTCAGACAGCGTGTAGCGGTTGCTAGGCAACAGTTTCTCGTTTTTTCTTTGAGGGTGGGCGGGGTTAAACGCAGATCAAATGACATCACAACCAGGGATCAAAGGAGTAGTCACGTCACAGGCGACGTGAATCTATATATAGAAGGCAAGGCAATGTCTAGACACACACACCGCTTGGGTTCAAACGCAGTTACTTGCTTAATAACAAACCTAGAATAAATTTTCACGAAGCAAAGAGAAATTTAAACACAATGAAAAATATAAAAGCTAGGAGTAATCTGGATAATTGTACAACTGATGACACAGTAAGTGCTGTGAAATCACTTGTGCGCCAGTTGTTCGACAACATTACAGCGGGGCAGTGGGACGAGTTTCTGTTAGGTCGCGCAGACAAGGTCACCACACAACAGCTCTCTCAATTTGTGGCAAACATGGTGACCCTGTGCTCGCAGTCGACAGCTGCAAACCAGGGGTCTTCCCAGGCCACCCCTGCACTTGACGTCTCCTCTGCCACTGCTGGCAGAAAAATAGTCAAGCGAAGGAAGACTGCACGTGGCGGTGGGTTAAAGAAAAAACTCAAAAACCCGTGGATGCGCTGTAGGCGTCAGTCAAGTTCTGTCAGCTCCGCAGACGGAGTTGAAAGCGCCATAGAAAATCCAGTCAATGTAACATCTTGTGACGTTCCTATGGATTACACCGTACAGTCAGTCATTGACGGTGTGATTTTTCAGGCCGAAAAAGCAGCACATCTCTCTGCTGAAAATTACAAGAAAGAAATGTTTGACAAACTCTGGCCTGAGCTGGAGTCTAAAGATGTAGAAATCGCAGAAAATGTGGAAACTGTCATTTTCTCTGACATCTGTAAGGAGCTGGCTATTCCAGAGCATGCTGTTTTCTCCACCATGGTTTTAGACGAAAAACACCAAGAAACGATCATTTCTACATTCAAAAAACACCTGGTTCCATCTTCTGAATATACATCTAGTTCTGTAAAAGCTCCAACCCCACAGAAATCCCCTGTTAAACATGAAAGCGTGCCGGCTGAAAACAACTCTGAGGATAAAATATGGCTGAGCAAACTTATTCAAACTGTGTTTTCAGAGTTTGCTAAAATATCAGTGTCCCCCTCTTCCGATTCTCTGCATGAACGTTTGTTGGAGAAGGTCTGGGCTGAAATCCAGAACATTAAAGTGCCTTTAGGCCCAGAAGTGCTGGAAAAGGTTGCCAAGGACATTTTCAGTGATCTAAATGAAAAATTAACTGCTTTAGATGAATCACTGAGTGACACCACAGTTTTTTGTGTGTTCAAACAACACCTATTGGCATTAACAGACACGTGTGAAGTTGAATCACGTGAGAAAGAAGAAAAATACAGACTTTCTGTGGAACTCTGTAATGGGGACGTGATTAGGTGTGCTTTTGATAAGGCAGGCATTTTCATGCCCCCAGACATGATTGAAGCCATCCAAAACAGATTTACCACTGTAGTCTGGAAAGAACTCAAAGAAGAATGTGTTAAAGTTCCATTGGAGAACTTTAAAAACCTCAGCAAGCTGGTTTACAAATCTCTTTGCAAAAAGTATAAAACGCCTGAGAACGTTCTCCTGTTCATGCAGTTACAGTACCCAATAGTTGAGGAAACAATCGTGGACGTGTTCAAAAACCAAATAGCAAAATTATCTAAGAAACCGGGTTCCATCCGCCAATTTTTAGCATCTGCACGCAATTTTTTTTGCCGGAGCAAAAGACACAATAAGGTTTCTGTAATGTAGGGAAATCAACTGAAAACATTTCTTAAAAACTAATTGGAGCCATTTTTAAAATCATAATGGCTCTTTAATTAATTGGATCATTTATGAAACTCCGCGGACCGGTCGCGACAGATGGCCGTCCCCTCACTGAGCCTGGTTCTGTCGGAGGTTTCTTTCTCTTAAAAGAAAGTTTTTCCTCCCCACTGTCGCCGAGTGCTTGCTCAGAGGGGTGTGTCTGCTGGGGTTTTCTTTTTAACACTGGAAGGTACCAAACCTTACAGTAATACATTGTAAGGTTTCCTTACAGTGTATTACTGTAAGGAAACCTTACAGTGTGAAAAGACCATCATTTACTTTCCCTTACAGATTGAAGTGAACTGAATTGAACCGAAAACACAACTAATTCAGCGCTTCAAGTTAATGTCAATAAAAATGTTTACATTTCATGCCCTGATTTCTGTTTGATTTCATTGTCTGTGAGTTGAACAAATTCATTCTTACCAACTTCGTGTTTCATTTAAACGTGTAACCTATTTTTAAACCTTTCAAAAATCTGAACATGGCAGAATACCGTTTAATAAAGCAGAATGTGATATTTTGTATCTGACTTATTTCAAAACATACATTGATTTATGTGTGGAAGAAGACAATGTAGCATTTTTTAAAGGCGAGAAAAGAAAAGAGCCAGCTGAGTCTATTATTGTTACCAGACAAGAATATAACTGCACCAAATTTTGGAAGATTAAATACAAGAAATTTTAATCTTTTGACAAAGTGATTAAGTGAAACATTTTGGATTTACTCAGTTTCGAATGATGAGATTTTCTGAAATGTAGATATATTTAAAATAAATACATTTTTAAAAAAGACATTGAACAGGATACACTTCCTTTTCAACATGACACCCACCTTCAGAAGGCATGTGACGCTCCTTATTGGCCCACAGTTTTCACTGATCGATGTCTCAGGCCAAAGGGTTGAGTAATGAACCATGACGGCTCTGTAGGCACGTTCACTTATTCAACCTGAACTAAACTGAGAGCAAATTTTGGCTTTTAGGGAGAGGTGAAAGAGATACCTGTAAAGGAAAGAGGAGATGTTGATTCAAAGCAAAAAAAATATGAACAAATGAGATCTTCAAAGGTAGGAATTTTTTTTCTAACAATTAAATGGTCCAAACGAAATTTGATAAGCCTGGAAAAACACAGTTCTTTAAAGTAACACATTACATAACTGCGCTGATCATTTTTGTATAGTCCCTCTTACATATCCAGCGGTGTTGCTGTGATCAGTTTCTAAAAGTGAATAACTCAGCATTCCTGTTAGCCATGTACAGTAGTCGGATGCTGCGCACACAGCCGGCAGCAGCTTCTTGAAGCTCCTCATCATCGGATCCCATCATGTGGATCAGTGGCTGTGGAAGTATACAGGACAGAGCTGACAACCAGCAGAAGAATGTATTCCCAACAAATCTCATTTACTAAAGAGTGTTTCTCAAAACTGAATTAAAACACCAGAAACACATCACATTTCAAAGCATGAGATGCATTATAATACACCAGTCCACACATCGGTGTGGTTAGCAAAGAAGCAGAGGCAAGGCATTCCTAGGATTTTCCCAGAAAAACCAGAAGATGAAGTGAGCTAGCCTGTGGATGAAAAAGCTGTGAACTTACAGAATAAGTCCGGTTAAAATCTAAAAAACTGCTGTTCTTCTACTTATAACCACATTATTTTGTAGAAAAATACAAAAGCAGTCTGCTCAGTGTCGAGGAGTGTGTGTGAAACATTTGTGTTTCATGTGATTAAAATCCAAATATACATTATGGAGTAGTGTTGCAACTCTTAACTGGTACATTAATAAGGGCAAACATAGACACAGATTTAAAAAGTATTTCTTAAATTGGCACATTCTTACCACCCGTTAAAAAAAATCTAATAAAAATGTAAGTCTAAATGGAGGAAACAAAAAAGCAGTTTGAATGTGACTGAATTTTGGAGTCAGATATCTAGGTACCACAGCACTGTAACTGACCTGAACTACTTCTTTTTCATGCATGGTAATACAGTTGTTGGGATTCCTTGACAGCTGATACAGGGCCATGGCTGTGCTCCGCTGTACCGAGCCTTCTTTCGACTTAAGGTTACGCACAAGTGGTGCCACAGCTCCAGCCTCACCAAATGATGCCCTATTGCTGCCCCACATGCAGCACTGTGCGATGGCATCAGCAAGATGGTGACGGAGCCTGTCATGAGTCTGGAGAGAAATAAGACGCTACTGAATCCCAGACAGCATTTTTTACATTCCCCAGAACAAGTTGTGTCTACTAATGCACCCCTCATTAGCTGGATTCATACAGCAGTGAGTGATTAAAGAGCACCTAAACTCAGCATAAAGACGGTATATGAATACTGACAACAACACTACAACCCTGTTGTTTTTCTCCAGCTGTGAGGTGTTCTTACTGTGTTAGTCAGCTTGGCCAGCGATGGGACAACCCCGAAATCAGTGAGGATTGCCAGATTCTCCTCATCTTTGGCTATTTTGCAGATGGCAGCACAAATACTTGCCAGCACCTCATTGTTTGTTGAGCTCAGCAATTTAACAATCAGTTGGAATCCACCGATGAGCGAGCGTGCAGTTTCTCCTGCATCCTAGAGTCAAAAAGTCTGTTATTAGCTGCAAATGAACACAGAAGATGATCAATAGGGGAGCAGTCCTAAGAATCCAGTCCAGTGGATCCAGTGAATAAGTACTAACAAAGCCCGACCCTGTTTCCAGAAAATATCAGGATGCCTTTTAAAATGTAAATAAAAACAGAATGCAAGCATTTACATTTTTTTTCTTCCATCCATCCATCCATCCATCCATCCATCCATCCATCCATCTTCATCCGCTTTATCCGAGGCCGGGTCGTGGGGGCAGCAGCCTAAGCAAAGAGGCCCAGACCTCCCTCTCCCCAGCCACCTCCTCCAGCTTATCCGGGGGAACACCAAGGCGTTCCCAGGCCAGCCGAGAGATATAATCTCTCCAGCGTGTCCTGGGTCTGCCCCGGGGCCTCCTCCCGGTGGGACATGCCTGGAACACCTCACTCAGGAAGCGCCCAGGAGGCATCCTTGTCAGATGCCCGAACCACCTCAGCTGGCTCCTTTCGATGTGGAGCAGCGGCTCCACTCTGAGCCCCTCCCGGATGGCCGAACTTCTCACCCTATCTCTAAGGGAGAGGCCAGCCACCCTTCGGAGGAAGCTCATTTCTGCCGCTTGTATCCACGATCTCGTTCTTTCGGTCACTACCCACAGCTCGTGGCCATAGGTGAGGGTAGGGGCGTAGATCGACCGGTAAATTGAGAGCTTTGCCTTTACACTCAGCTCCCTCTTCACCACGACGGACCGGTGCAGCGTCTGCATTACTGCAGCTGCAGCCCCAATCCGTCTGTCGATCTCCGGCTCCCTTCTCCCATCACTCGCGAACAAGACCCCGAGATACTTGAACTCCTCCACATTTTTTTTCTTTTTAATTTTAATTTTTATCTATCATCTATCTATCTATAAATCGATCTATCGATCTATCAACTTTCAAATCACTGAAGTGGACTCTGACAAACAACACGAGTAACTGATGCTTAAATTATTTTCTGTGTTAAAGCTCAATTTAACTGGAATCTACACTGGTCCAAAATATGGATTGGCCTTGCTAACCACACAACTTAGCATAACCTTGTTCAAATATTGGCACACAATAACAACACAAAAATGTCCAAACTGCTGAGCTAGAGGTTTAAAGGTGGTAGTCCACTGGATTTGGACACAGTGGGTACATCAATATTTAATTTACAGCATTTCATAAGTTTATATGTTTTCTATGCTTTTAACATACCACGGTTACAAATGAATATAATGTTATTCTGTGCATGGTTGCTCTGTCCTCTGAGCTACAGCCACCCCAACTGTGTGCCTCTGGAGCTGGTAGCATGTTCAGAGAAGATTTTCAGCTGGGAAATCAGAAGCCATGCCACAGGATATTTACTCAGTCTGGCAAAAACACTGCAGAACTCTTTGGTTTACAGGATAAATATGTGCTTCACTTCACACAAACAGGAGACACAAAAGACCCAGTTTTAAGTCACAGACAACTAAAGAAATACATACCTCTGCATTTTCAATGCATGCACAAAGAGCCCAAGCAGCACTAGACTGAACATCTGCACTGGGGGTTTTTAGCAGCGACCACACCAGACGGATTCCATCAAGCTGGTCAATGATTCTGAAGAGAGAGAAAGACATGGAAGTGTTGTGAGAAAAGAGGGAATGAAAGACGGAATGAACAAACAAATAAACAATTGTAAACACATTTTGCCCACTGTGTGAAACTCCCCACAGTAACTGGCTATATTTTATCATACTAACAATTTTTTATTGGGCTTTTTATCCCAAACACATGTAATGGGTTTATTGTTAGTTAGCACTAATAGATAACTAACAACGTGAATTCTGACATTAAGTTGTATTTAGGTTTAGGTATGTTAGTCTGACCAGCTCACCTCCTAACAGTGACTGCAGGCCGATAGTAAAACACTGGGAATTAAACCACAACCACATTTAACACAGCAGGTACAATAAACAAAGCTTTTAAAATCTGTCATTAAGCCGGGGATAACAGGGTAACCTACCTGCATAATTACAAATGTAAAAAACAGGAGATTTCTTGAAGCATCAATGCATGACCAGTTAATGATACCGTGTTTAGATCCTTGACTTGATGTCATTCTTTTGTAAAACGGTATGACCGTATTGTCAAGAATATGTGAGTGTATGAATATATGAGTCAGACACATCACATTTTAACAGGCAGTTTGTCTTGTGTAAATTGTACTTGTGATGTACAGAAAGAGACAGACTTACACCATGTTATCCTTATTTGTTGCACAGGCACCCACTGCTTTGGTAACATTCACAAGCAGCGCCTGGTTAGATTACAGGAAGATGAATCGGTAAGGAGCAAGTTGTAAACATGGCATCACCATTAATGCAAAATAGAAAAAAATCTAGATACTGGTTTGGGCTTGTGAGCAACTTAACTAGTGGTTTGATGCCTCCAAACTCACGGATGGCAGCCTTGTTAGCAGGTATCTGGGCAAATTCTCCAGGGCTCCCACTACATTGACCAAGACTTCTTCAGGTTGATCAGTTAGTAGATTCACCAAGATCTCCAAGGCTTTGTTACTCTTGAAACCTTTAAGGAAAGAAGACAAAACTGGGGTTGTATGATATCACTTAGAATAATTTAGCAATTAATTATATTAACCAAAGAATGTAAACAACACTAAGAGTTTAGTAGTGTTTACCAGGTTGTGCTAGACTGGGAACTGTAAACATTTGTGCTACCATTGGCAGCAAAAAATACATAGGTGGAAAGTCAGGGGATGAATAAAGTACTTCTTATCTCACTTTTTAATCCATTCACTAGTCTGAACCATGTCTGGACCACGGTGTGAAGTGGTTTGAACAACAGACTGATGACTATCACTATGTCTAGAACCCCATGCAGGCATACTATCAAACTTAGCATTGACTTATTGCATCTGCAAGCCACACTGCAACCCACCTCTACTCCCCTTCTCCTTTCATGCCGTTTCTGACTAAATCCAGCATGAAATACTAGGAAAACACATGCATATCTACAATGGGAAGAAAACCAAGTCAAAAATAAATGTAAAATGTCAACAGCCAGCACACTGTGTGGCTCCAGTTTTGCCTTTTAACTGCACCATGGAATCAATGTCTGTATTATCATTAATCAAGAAA